CTGGAACTGAAATTACAGATACATAAATACATCGAAAGGAAAAAGGGATTATCAACAAATCAATGAGAGAGAGGATCAACATCATTGTTTCGCTGATTTGTAAATATTCATCAATGACATCTGTGCTTACATCGTATGCCAGCATACATATTGCAATTGTACACTTTTGAATAGGTGATAAACTTTATCTAACGGTGCAATCAGGATGACTCTGGAAGAAATGATCTATCAATTTTACACATTTCAACCATGCGAAGAAATTGTTGTCTCCTCATTCGAAATGTACACTGAATATATCTTCATTGTATGTCGGATTTTCAGAGAAATAATATGTGTGTAGACGTTGATCTCCATCTTCACGGCTACTATGCATAGATGTTCTTGACTTCTTTATACCTACAAATGATGAAACTTGATTTTGTGATTCATTGTATTGAGGCTTAAGATTGCATGTGTCATCAGTAAACCATTCAAAATAAACTTAATATCAACTTCCTTGTATAAGAAAATGTATATACCCAAGTGAATTGTGAAAAATCATGAAATTACCATTCAAATTGTGAAAGAAAGAAAATCATGTAAAAACCATGGAAAATGTGAAGAGGAACAAGGTTTGTCAATCTGAAGATATGGGATCGAAGAGGAATAAAAATACAGAAGATGGTCATTACAATTCATCATCTTCAAATGTTAACACACCAATTCTTGAGGAGGTGTCAACTCCTTCTCGCCCATAAGGAAGGAAAGCCTCGAACGATAAAGGTAAAAAAGAACCTTCATCAACAGGTTGTATCGAAAACGAACAAGTGACAATGTTACAACGACTCAATATTGAAAAAGGAAAAAAAATACAGGCGATGAGAGAATTCAATGCATCATTTGTGAAAACAGAAAACGAAAGAATAAACAGAGAAAATCAAAAAATGATCAAGAAACTGATGGAAATGGATCCCATAATAATGACCGAACCACAAAGGAGATTGTACAAATATTAAATTCAAGAACTTTTAAATGAACGATAATTTATTTTATATGTGTTAAGTTTGTATTTTTATTGTGTAATATATTTTATTGTATTGCAATATAAATTATATTTTGCATTTTTTAATATCGTTAATGACATCAACGTTAAGAAAATGGAATATAAAGTTAAATTTATGATCAAAATCTCATTTAATAAATTATTCATACATTTTTACAGTATACCCCACAATACATCAAAAAACATAATGTAACATAAAACAATTTCTTATATTATTCACTGTCACATCAATAAAAACAAAAGTACTGATGTGATATTGACAATTCCCGATAACCAATTATTTATTGAGAAATCATACTCATAACACCATAATTTTTTAATAATAAATCCTTAAAAGAAAATTCACAAGAAAACCTTATATTGGATGGTTTCATAACAACTAATGGTGTTTTTTTCATTCCATTGGATGTAAATTTGTGATATAATATTTTTATTTTATATAAATTGTATCAAAATAATACATTTTTCTACGTTAAGAGAATTATTTAGAAGTTCTAATTTATGAAATGTATTGTCTCTGATGGATTTAAGACATTGACTATGTTTGATAAATTAACTAATAAACTAATAATTAATTAATTGTTGGTAATAAATTAATTGTTGCCTGATAACCAGTCAGGTTTGATAAAGAGAACAGTTGATAAACTAAATTATATCGTAAATAACCTATAGTAACTTTTTGAAAATTTAAATGGAAGTTATTTTTAAAAAGCCACATTTGTTAAAGAAACCACCAACCACATACAATAGACACTTCCAAAGCAACTATTCTCCAAGATGCAAAACCCAGAAAATAGAAGACAAAAAACGTTAACACCAAAGGAAAGAAACCTACAAAAAAAAAGGCAAAAACACTTACATCCAACAAAACAATGCGCTACAACCAAACAAGACCAGAAGCCATAAGACCATGCTCCAATGAACCGACTTGAGACCCACAGATTGGACGAAATTAAGCCGAGACAGGACCATCCAAAACTCTAGCAAAAAAACCAGACCACAGCGAACGGAAAAACAGACGAACTAGAGAAGAAACAAAGCCACCCATAACTCGAGCAAAAACATAACTAAAAGGAGCAAAAACAACCTCATGAATTGCAGCACCAATCCATCCACGATGTGTTAAAACCTGTTAAATAGTTAGTTGTCCATTGACATTGACAATAACTGAATATTGAAGGCTAAGTAGCATTGAGAAGGTTGCATTAGAAAACGCCACTTTATTTCAATGACCCTAAATAACATACATAAAAATCCACAAAATCGCCTGTCATAACCTTTTTGTATAAGTAGAGAACAAGGGATGATCACAAGGCTAAAGGATGTCCTCGTTCAAGCCCGCATTGAAGCGGCCTAAACCCCACCACCTGAAAAAGATTTTCCATATCTTCAAGACTTCCTTGTGATGATTAGTAGTCTCAATTTCATCCCCACACAATGGATATGAAGAAGAATAAAAATCAATACCAACATTGTCATAGCATCGAGCACACCAAGACCCTATTGAGTCTTAAATGCCACATAAAGATACAAACTTTCCTTGAAATCAACTTGCTCCAAATTGTTTCAAAATCATGATTTTATCACCCAAAAAAACACCTGTCAATCCCCTCCTTGAGCTCTTTAACTGAGAAAACTCCATCCTCACGAAAGAACCATACCGAATTGTCTCTCTCATTTCTGATCAGACTAACATTTTGAATCAAACTTGCAACCTCTTGCACATCGCTTAAAAATCACCTCTAAAAGACTTATTCCACACGCAATTCAAATGTCACCTACTATCCCTCCGCACCACCATGTCCTTCACCCATCGCCTCTGTAACACCCGATATTTTATGATGTAATTAATTAGATTTTGACCAATTATTTAGTTTGTATTCTAGTTTCTATGTTTGTGGTTTAAACCTTATGAATTAGACCTTGAATCAGGACTATGAATAAGGCATTTCAAGCCTCTGCATGGATCATGTGACCCTTGTGCCGCACCCCTTGCATCGCGTGGCTAAGGTCACATTTCTTGTGTACCGTAAGTGGGGAGTTTTGGGGTTCTACGACACTTGTGACCATGAACCTTGCACTGTGAGCCACGATCACATTTTTGGTACCATAGGTATAATTAGGAACACGAGCGGACCTTATGCCATGACCCTAGAGTCGCATTGCAGGGTCGCATTTTGACTACAGGTCATTTAAGTCATAATTTCATATATTTTCTCCACTCTACTCTCTCTCTCATTTCATTTAAAACTCTTAGGAAACCCTAGGTCTGATATTTTGAGTATTCAAGGAGCATTTATTAGCAACTAACATCAAGGTAC